TCTTCCGTGATTCCCTTTATGAACATACGAAATTATGTGAATTATTTATTTAATTTTATAAAAAAAAATAGCTTTTTATATCAATACTCAACCAACTCTACATCTCATTCATCTAAAACGCTTGAAGGCGCTGTCGTATATATAACATGGAAATAATATCAATAATATTTACACGGATCGACTTTTTATCGACTCTTTGAGTTAGCTTTATATCAGTTATAAAACACAAAACTAGTTAAACTATAGTTTTATAACAAAACATTTTAAAATGGGTGTCTCTTAGGTTGTGCGATCCACAAAACTTTAAAAGTTTAATAAAACTTGAAAAAAGACACTTCCAATAATCGTACGAAGAAGTTGATGGGCGATGGCGGATTTACCGGTGTGGCCCAAGCACATTCCAAATCTAAAAGCACAAGACAAAACCATACTAAAGTATATCAAAACACTCGCATATTTATACATTAATCTTCTTCCCAATTAAACATTTATATGTGTAACTGGAATGGCCTTTCATTTCCCCAAAATTAAAACGTAAATCCTGTTATAAAGTTTGAGTACAGAGCTTTCCGAGATGAATTTCATGATTCATTTTCACAATGCTTGATTTCCGTAAAGTACAACTGATGTGAGATATTGGCAGCTTCTCAATGTTTTATTAGTTATGAGCCAAACGAGTAATCACTTTGCACAATTGCTAAAAATAAACAAACCATCCATAAAATATTGAATTTAAATGAATTTTGTACGTTTTACCAAACTGAGCATCACGCAATGCAGAAAAAACAAACTCAGAATCATTTTGTCTCGTTTCAGCTGTAATTAGAGTAATGAGTTTATGCATAAATGCGAACTCGTTTCAGCAGTTCTCAGTCAACTTTCCAAAGAAGCAATTATCGTAATATATCTACTTTATCGCTTTGTTCAAGAATTATTCATAATTGTTTATATACGTTTATACTTTGCGGGAAAACGGCTGGACAACGTACTAAATGAAATGCTAAAATACTCATTTCAGTTTCGAGTAAAGTGAAAAAGTCATTATCTATATGAATCCTTAATTAATTGACTGAGAAGTTTTGACTTTTTAATGACCTCTGACGTTATTCCCCTAAAACTATAAAATGTTTATAAATGAAAAAAAGAGTATCTTGAATTTTTTAGTCAATACTTTTATCAGTTTACTAAAATTAGCCCCAAAATAAATAAATGTACATGATCGCCTTGCAATCATGACACTAACTCACGTTATGGTATGTATGTGATAAGTCGGCAATCCCGAAATAAAATATTAATCAGTTAAACTCCGTAAAAAATTAAAATCCTCGTTCAAATTTTTCAATGTTAAATTCTTCACTATTAAAAATGCGAAAAAATGTTTCAAAATTTCTCCGTATTCAAATTTGAGGAAATAGTAAAAGTTCACTTTTCGGACTTACTTGTACTCTTACTATAGTAGTATATAAGCTGATGAACGACACGATTATTTTATTTTTTATTTTTTTCTTCAACAGTGTGACAGCAAAAAGAAATATTAATTATACTTATTTAGCTTTAAATGTAAACGGAACCTAAATAGGAAATAAAATATTAATGTTATGTTCTGTAATTCTTTAAGCAATACGTCATTATTAAATAAAATAAAAGTATATACATTTTCTATTTATATTTTTTGTCAAATCGTTCAAAATTAAGAGGATCATATTTAAATATATAATGTGGTTGAACAAATAAAGTATAATTAATTTTACTTAATTCAAAAATATGGAAAATATTACCAAAATGATTATTAATTCATTTTAATTACGATAGATAAGATTTTAAAAAATAAAATTTATATGTTATAGTTCACTGTTTTATAAATTATGCCGCTTCTATAAATAGGTCATACTTAATGCGGGACTATTAAAAATGACTTGTCAATTTCTATGTACTTCATAATTATTTACAATTCCGAAATACTGTATTTATTTATTTTTTATCGGGTAGGAGAGGTCGATAGATGTTTAAAGAGCATAGGAATAATTCAAATTATATTTTGATAATTATTAACTAATGCATATCGGTTTGATAAAAAGAAGTATTAGTAGACTTCAATCCGGGAAAGTTTTGACACAAATTAAAATTTTTTAATTCGAAAATTAGCAAGACGCAAAGTTATTTCGCGACCTTACAAATTCTAAAAAAAATATCCCACTTCTGATAGGCGTCATTCTTTATTGGGCTTATTTTTCATGAAATAAATCCTTATTATTCTAATTATATGATTTTGAAATCAGTGTTGAGTATTTTTAATGAACTTTCGGTCGATTCAAACACTATTTCAATAACAAACAACACACGCATAATTACCATGTTCACTTTTGTTTAAATTGTTATTATTTTCATCTGCGATAAGCCTCTCATCATCAAAAATATTTCGTGGAATATCTCATTATCATAAGCTTCTTAATATGTAATATTATAATACGGTAATGTTAAGCGTTATTTTGGATTAAGATGAAAAAACGATTCCGAATTTTCGGTTAATAAACGATGCTAATTTGAACAAGGACTTAAAAGATTATTACGTGATGTCTATGGTTTTATTTCGGTGATGACAATGGATTGACACTATTTAATTTGGGTCTTGATAGATTTCCAAACGTAATGAACTTTTGTTCCGATGTGGTTTTCGAAACTATTTTGTTTTTGAGGTTGTGCCATATACGAAACATATATTAATCGCACGTTCCGTAACGTGGTTCATCATATTAACAAAAAAAAATTATAGTTCGATCCTCATTTTTCAATTTTTTTTTTGAAAATGGCTTCGAAAATGAAAAGATGTTGTCTGTGCAATTCAGAGTGAAAATGTTCATCCGACGGTTGTTTACGAGCAAGAAATGAAAGGAAAATCCAATTGATATTCTTGATCTGCGCATCTTCCTTTTTGGCGTTATCTTACACGCATTGACTATTTATCTATTTCTACTAACTTTAATTAGTTCTGGATGCATTCCCATCTCTTCCAAAATTCAAACTATGCCAATTATCTCCAAACAGTAGATAGTTTGTCACAATGGCGTCTTGTTCAATGAGAACAACCAACGGAAATAGTTACATTTTTAAAATTCAACAACGTTTAACAGACAGCTCAAGTTGTCTGAAGGCAACCTGTATTCAGCAACTCGTTTACGCTAAAACGGAAACAAGAGAACCCTGACGTGATCGTATTTTCAAACCAATTGGCGTTAAAACTAGCAATTTACGTTACAGAACAAATTTGAAAACCAATATACACAGTTTAAACTTTCTTTTATCTTTTTCTGCTGAGCGTTTGAGGTCGAGGAAACGGATAAATATTTTATGCGTAATTTCTAGGGGAAAGTATTAATTCACAAAATTACCTTAAACGAAATGGGAACTCACGATAAACGAGCAAATTGCTTGAAACTTGTGATCTTATAGAAATGATAACATTCTACGAGAAGAAATTTGAATTGGATCCTATTTCAAACATCTACATAGAAAATGTCAATATTTAGAAATTCTCTACATTTCCGCTTCAAAATTATAGTCTAAGAAGTTAATATTAGTCAACATAGGAAACGTAAATCAAAAAGCTACTGAGCAAGGTAATATTAACATAAAAATTATTCTAAGAATTGAGGTTCGTTCATAAATATCTAAACATAACAATAATAACTGATTAAGCTCTTCAGTCAATTTCAACCCGTTTTAAATTTTTTTCTTGATTTAAAAGAAAATTAGTAATTTGAAATATATTCACGATGCAGTTATAGTTATATTTATTTCATTAATAAATCAATAATATTCAATAATAAATTTTTGCCGATTTTGTTTACATCACCTTCAAGTTTTCAATTGAGACTTAATTCTAATTTAATAAGCTGATACTGGAAATGTTAACAACACTTTATAATCTTATCACGTTGTGTTTTTGAATTACTCAGAATACATTCTTATTTAGAAATAATATACCCGACATTTATGAGTAATTTGGAACATTTGTAGGATATCTGGTTACACTACTTAAAACACATTAATGTATTGCATATTATAAAATGTCAAGGCCAAGTGTAATGTGGTGTAGCAAAAACGAACACTTTTAACATGGGAATCAAATAATAAAAAAAGTTCATGCTTATTTAACGGTAAATTATTTTATGTTCCCGTTACTTACGCATGTTAATCCTTAAGTAGAGTGAGACCGCAGATTATATACGCTGGTCAATGGCAATCGATATCTATATAAAGGTATGTTATTGCAAAACGCCTGTTCTCGTCTTACTTGAAGTATTTAGCTAAGTGTAGTTGTAATAAACCAAATATAAATTATTTTCCAATTTATTGTGGATTGTCGCAAGATCACATATTAATATTCTAATCTTATTTACGGAATGTCTACCGTTATTTTATAATAGCCTGATTTTGGTAGAAGGGGGCAACATTTGTATTATATCGCCCCCTTCCGGAAACAAAGCGAATACACAAATTTTAAGTAAAATATTAGAGTCATCTTGTTGGCGAATATTCCAAATACTTCTTTTTAGCCCGAAAGACTTTTATTTAGAACATAGTGACAATTTTATATTCTGTATTTAGTACTTTATTACAAAAAAATGAATAATAGCAAAAATGAAAGATATTGAAAATATCGAAAAGCAATGCAAAGCAAAAACATTTTATAGCAAAACTTCATTTATGATTGAATAATATAAATCAAAAGAATAACAACAAAGCGATATTTGATAATAGTTTTATGCGAAGGCATTGATTGTCACAAGAGCGCTTAAAAATCATATCGGAACAGTGGCAAACAAATAAGAAAAAGCAAAATAAAAATTGAAAAAAAAATGTCAAAGTTTCAACAAAAAACAAAAATTCTAAATAAAACACTTTCTTGTGGACAATTCATCAAGTGACATAATTGCTTATTATCAGGAACTAAAGTATGGAGGATAAATTTTTGATGATAAACACTTAAGCGGTTCGAAATATAATTTTGCTTCTTAAAATAGCATAGAAATTTATTTTGAGTGAAGTTTTTTTTATCAAACCAGGCGCAAGAACCGGTATATATATAGACATAGGAAGGTGAAGGTACAATGATAACTAATAGCAAGACAAAAATATGCAAACAATATTAGTTCAAGCGAATATCAGTTAAAATAAAACGTGAAGTTTCTCAAGCAATTGGGATGATTTCTGATAAAATGAAATTATAGTATTTTCTCTTTTCTAAATATGCAAACGCTATAATAGCTCCATCAGTTTTATTACAAGTTTATGTTCATTGCTCGTTTCGTTCTTGTTTAATATACATGATATGATTTCCATTCATTGCGGTTTCATGTAGCCTTTGCTGTTGGCGCATTCTTACATATTCTTCCTCTTCTTTATCAATGGCGGCTTCATCCTCTTCATTCAGTTCAATTTCGTCCGGTTCTTCTACATCGTCTTGTTCTGATTTTGATGTTCTTCCGGCTGCTTTATCTTCAATCTTTTGTCTTTTAAACTTTGTACGACGGTTTTGAAACCAAACTTTGACCTGGTAAATGAATATATATATAAATAGGTTTTATAAAACACATACATTGTAAATAAAATGCTAATCAAATCCGTCCTTTCAAGTCAACATTATGCATAATCCTTGTAAATTTAGTTGTCTAAAATGTAATATTTTCAAACCTGTGTTTCAGATAGTTTCAATGATCTCGCCAGTTGTTTTCTTTCTGATCCAACAACATAATGATTCCTCTCAAACTCTCGTTCAAGTTGTAGAAGTTGTCCGGGGGTAAATGCAGTACGTATTCTTTTAGGTTTTCGTTGAAATGGATTTGCCATCATAAAATCGAGTCTATTCCGCAGAAAAACATCTGAAAACAAAGCATATAAATAAAATTCATGTCTCTACTTATGAAAGTTTAAGAATATTATTGTAAGAGAATTGTTTATTCTATAAAATGACCTTGACCTTTTGAATCGTAGCTGCGTTATAATTAATTAGTTGTTATCTTTTTAACACGATTTGACACACATTATTCGCCGTTAATTGTTTGTAATTTAAAAGATCAAAAACGTTTTGCTGCTTAAAGGCGGAACGTAGCAATTATTTCAAAACGTATCACATTTTATTAACATACTGCTCGAGTCATTTTCTCATGCAAGCTTATGCGGTAAAAAGAGTGAATCTTGACATTTTCAGAGAATCTTGCATAACAAATTAACAGTTAACCGTTTCCGCTTTCAGTTTGCAATTACAGTTTTTTAATAAAAATTACAAATTTTTACCACGGGAATAGCTTTTGTCTGAGAAGGTAATTGGACACGATTACTCTAATTAATTTAAGGATCAAAAAGTTTTTAATTAACGTTCTAATTTTAAACTTGTTGATAAGCCACTGAAACTTCACAAAGAATGTTGATTAAAAGGTTAATAATCGGTTGTGAAAGGTATGTTGCGAAAATATTCTTCCTATGGGAAGTAGGTCTTAAGTAGTGTAAGTCTAGCAAAAACAAACGTTCATTTTTGATACGCTTCGAAATTCCAAAAAATAAGAAATACCTGTGTATTGCAGGGGATGAAGAGGTGCTCCAACAACAGGGGCTTGTTTCAGTAACCACGGTGCTTGATGGTTCGGAATAAAGCGTTGCTGTCCTACTGCCGATATAGGAGGCATATGAGGAACGCACGTTGTCGGAATTGTTGGTGCCATATATGGGTTGGGTCCCACACGTCCTAATCCGTTGGCCGCTGCGGCCGCAGCAGCCGCTTGAAAAACTATGCGATCCATCATAGCCGCTGCAGCAGGATCATTGCTATACGGCGTTACTTGGTATGGGAAACCAAATGCTGGTCTTGTACTATTGTGAGATGGATGACATGGGTACATAATAGGAGCAGATAATGCTTTTCGTTCTTGCACTGGTGGGGAGACTGAGATTGCTGACGGATATTCAGTAGAAGCAGACCGATCCGGATGATTTTCCTCACTTTTAGCACAATCCTGAATGGGCGATTTTGTTGAAAATTGATATGAACTGGGTGAAATGGAACGCGCCTGAGGAGTAAATGCACTCACATCGTGTGAGATGTTCCTCAAGTTTTCTTGTACCTGTTTATCATGTTTGTATAAAACTGAATAGCGATTCTGTGATATTGGCGAAATTGATCTCGTTTCACTTCTTGCTCGAATTCGCTCATTCTGACTTTCTGCTTGCTTCATTTCAACATCGGTATCTGAAAAACCTTTAGGCGTTGGACGTTGTGGTTCGCGACCGTCAACAAGTCGATTTTCATCGATGTCTCGAGAACTTGTAACAATTTTAGCATACGGCTGATATCTGACATTCGATTTATCATTCGAACTGAAACGTCTGTTGGTCAGAGCCATCTTAGTTTGAGATTTTTGTATTTTATCTCTGCCTACCAAATAAGCGATGCTGAATCCAATCTTCTTATTATTCATTGTTGAAGGTGCCATATTCAATGTGTCGAGATGAGTAGGGTTTAAAACCATGATAGCTTAGCACATATGTTTTAGATATTTTATAATACAATTATTAAATGTATTTATTATCTGTTGAAAAATGAAATTAAAATTGTAAAAAATATAAGATTCACTTAATAAAACTGCTTATTAGAATTTTCATTCTTTGCAAACATTTCAAAAATGAATACAAGCCCGATATGATCATTACGATACACATTTATTATCAAAACAATAAGTCAGATTTTATATTATTTGCTCAGCCCTTATGCTAACTCAATATAAATTTAAGTCCAATCTTTCTTGGCTTAGTCGTGAAACATTATGTTTCATAGTTTTGATTTACTTAATAACAAATCAAAAATGTAATAATCAACTAGAAGTTTTAAACGCTATTTACCTAATAAACTATAAAGCGCGCAGTTATTGGGGATATTTACAAAACGCGACGAAATCATTGAAAATATACCTAGTTCAATTGCAAAAATCGCTTTCAATAATTGATTCATTCACCTTGACACCGTTTCTGTAATTATTACGCTTTGACTTCGTTGTGACGAGCACGTGTATTTAATGCCATCAGGTGAAACGTTTACGTGCCTTTTTTTCTTCATCTTTGTTTAATCTCTCAAATCGGAGCTAGAATGTGATTATTATTTCATTACGTTCCTTCGTCTTTGTTTTCTCGGTGTCTAACTCAACCAATTCCTCGAAAAGTTGCTTCGTGTGACTTAATTGCACCTTACACGTGTTTATGCCTTATGAAAATACTAGTAGTGAAAGCGAACACTGATTTACTGATTGCCTAGTAATTGGTCTTCAATCGTATTTACAGTTTTGTCTTGTTTTCTGCCAAATTCGATTTCGGAACCACGCCTTTGAATTTATGCGTGGGAATTGGTTTCAATGCAGCCAGAAAATGGTCAAATAACAACTATTACTACCGAACTATTGATACCCACTTGATTCTTACTACTTTCTAACCCATTGTGTGAGCTTTGAATCAAAAATATTTGTTTTAACGGTACTGTGATTCATAGCACACTCCACTGCGATGCAAATTTTAATTGTTTGTTATGCAATGAAAATTATCGATGAAGAAAAAATCATTACTTTGGTCACTTACCTAAAAATATTACTTGACTTATGATGGTTCTTCAAGTTGAATAATAAAATTTAAGAATTTTTCTCATTCATTTACCAGCTTAGATTTACCTGCCAACCCAACTTCAAAATGTTATTTTTACATTATTATAACTAAGTCAACACATTCTCATGTCGACTCCATAAATTTCAACGACTGGTGAATAAGTATTAGAATCGTGTTAATAAATAGTCGGACAATTATCAAATTGTTCAGAAAATATTTTTACAGCATATTACTCCCTAAAATTGCCTAATAACACAAAATGTGTACAATTTATAGAAAACGTATCAAAAACAGTAATTGAGTGAAGTGTTGTAATCTTTTTAGTGTAGTTTTTTATTATATTGTCACAATTAAGGGATAATTTGAGAACAGTTTTCAGGTAATCTTTACCTCGTTCATCCTACACGCGCTCCGGTGACCTGACGATAAAATTAAAAGTCAATTAACAACTTGAAACAATCAAATTTACACCTGTGTTCTGCAGTTTAACGGTCATTAAATTGTCATTTATAGCGAGTAGGAAATGTGTATGAGCGGTAATAAAACAATTTCCATTATTCGCTTGTTTTACCGTTCATCATTTTCTCTTTTGTGTTCGTTGTAAATTATTTCAACAGATGTCACGGTGTAGAACATGATAAACAATTAGTTCGTCGGAACATAAAAGCAAAGCCACCCAATAATCAAAAGTTGATATCTGGGTGAGGAATTGCACACTATTTTAAATACTTTTAGTAATACTTAATCAGACTCAATTTCCAATGTTTGTGACATTTTTAATATGTATTTTACGTAAAATAAACCAGAAACATTACTTTCTTTATAAGCCTAGCACTTCAAAAGACAAACGTATTTGATTTTTAATCTATATTTAGTGTTCCTATAAGTGCGTTCCAAAATCAGATCATGCGCACATCCATTTTTGGTTGGATTCATTCAAAATATATATAGATTGAACAATGATATGAAATATGGTCAGATATATGCAAACCTTGAATATCGTGTTGAATGTAGTAAGTTCTTTTTCAAAATGGGCAAAACAAACGACGTCATCATTTTGAGGTGATTACTTTATTATTACCGTGATAAGTTGTCTGATGAGTCACTTTCATGTGAAACTTAATTATTTAATGACTTTTTATGGCACGAAATGATATTATATTTCACTTTCTTTTTGTCTCTAATCCACTAAACAACAATTTCTGGACATGATTATTTAATGAAAAGTCGTGAGTCAATTCAATACTAACATATGTTTTAGCTCCAAACTATATTTGGAACGCTTTTCTCAAAAGTATAGTTCTCCAGATCTATAGGTGCCAACGAGAGATATGGTCACGTTTGTATACTCAACATCCAACCAGTTCAAGTTTCGATTTGGAATTTGTTAGTCAGAAATTTTACAAGAATGTACTTCTTTTACCACACTGCATCAGAGAAAGTAAACGTCATAAACATGAAACGTCATATTTAATAGTCGCGATTGCTAAAACTATTGAGCGTAGTACATTGAGATAAGCTATGTTGTCATGTGAAGTTTATGCAACATGCTCACGACTTTGCATTTTTATTGTGCAAACTACTCTAAACAGGGGAATTCCGATCAGTATAAGTAGTAGCTTCCGCTTGATTTTATTCTGTGCGTGAAGATATGTGATAAAAATCTAATAACTTAAAGAGTTGGAATTCATATTCAAATTTAACCTTGTGCATTTCATGGGATTTTATAATGCTTTGCGTTTCAGAATTATACGTGAATAAAAACAATTTGTCTGTAAAAATACATCACACTTTTACTGAAAAAAAAATAATTAAAATATTTTTTTTGTACTGGTTGCGACAATTTTATGGTAGTTTTTCTCCTTCTATTCCCGAGCCCAAACACGACTAAACATGGGTATGAGATTTTGTAAAGTTCGTAAATTGCCCAGATGTGATGCGCGCTAGTAAATCATTTAAATTAATATTCATTTAAATTATTATATAACTGAATTTTACCGAATCACACTCATCATCACAAAAGATTGCCTGCGTTTAGAGCTAATATACATTTTATTGCAACTGTAAACAAGCTAGAATTCGTGAAAAGGTAATGTTTCGTTGTCACAACTGTGTTAAAAAAGTAAATAAGTAGTTGCGCAAAAATATATTGTCGTTCTAAATTCACTGATTTATATGAAGTATAATCGCATATTCACAGTTTCCCGGTATCACTTGAACAAATCCAACAACATCTCCTAAATAAATTGAATAAATATTGAAATGATATGTAAATTAGATTCGGATTCCAAACCCTTTATATCAACGGATTCCTAATGTAATCCGAGATTATCTGGATTAGGTAATGTAAATATTCTTATATTATTGTTTGATAAATTTTGTACTTGAAATCAGCATACATATTCCCTGAGTGTCTCATTTATTAAATTTAAAAGTGTATTGGTATATCATCTAATGAAAAATTTTCATAAATATATATTTTTGGTCTGAAATATTCTAACCAAAGTCAAATGATCACAACAGATGAGCTTCCAGTTCACCTATTGCGTGACCATGGTCCCTTGTCACCAACTAGTTTTCGTTTTTGATACTTTTACCGCTTCATTTATTGTAAATTGCTCAAGTGCCATGGGCACATATTACCCCTTAGTGCGTATTATAACTTTTTTAAAGGGTCGCAATACACATATGGTTGAGATGAGAGAACTTATAGAAAATGATAAAATATATGTTCATATTAATATTATTAATATTAATTAATAATATTTATTATTAATATTAATTTGTAATATTATGCTAGTTTTTATTTCTTAGTCACAAATGATTATGATTATTGTATTTGATATGACCCAGTGTTTTATAAGTAATTTCTAAGTACAAATATTATAGAAAAACTAATTAAAATGTGATTAAATCAATATTGTTTTGATTAAATTTTTGTCTGTTATATATATATATAGAACTACCTGGGAACAACTGCACACACTTAAAGATTTGAAAAGAGTGTAGTTCTAAATCAATTGATCTGAAATATTATCTGTAGATTGTTTCCCCGATATCAATTATGGAATTAATTCATTCTATAATTAATAATAAAGGAGACGAAGACTACAAAATATTTATTTAACGCCTATATTGTTCTTGATCCGAAATGCATACAAACCTAACTGCATATAACAACAAGTAGTTTTCAATTAAATAAGAACCTATATATGTTTAATCCCCATACTTTTTAAGAATCATTGGCGCCAAATTCATTTGACTCTATGACATCTAATGCACACTAATACTAAAATAGTAATCGAATTCAACAAAAATAAAAAATAAATTAACGAATGATGTTGGAATTTATTATGACCTTTTTCCAAATAAATGACGACATAATGAACGTAATTAGAGTCTAATACAATTAATATTTAGGACATTCACGTATTAAAGAGTATCTTTATCATAATTTGCTACGTAATCGTATATTTAATACACCTAATGCTGCATGAAATGCATGGTTTTGCTTTTGGTAACTAGAAATTAGATGTGAATTTATTTTACAGTTCTTCATAATTGTGTACGTGTATTTAATTGAATAGATAAATATCTTGTTAGTCGCTAATTGATATGAGATTGAGTTAACAACCACTTTCTCGCGCAATAAAAGTTGGATTAGATTAATGAGAAATAATTTATTTTCAGTTTATAAAAGAAATGGCCGCATCGTAGATTCAAAATGGTTCTGACATATGAAGTTGATCTATCAAATTTCAAAAAGATGCGCAAATTTCGGTCAAATAACTACATAATGAAAATTTTGCCCGTATTGTTGCCATAATGATTATATCAGGTACAAAAACTATTTTGTTTAACCAGTTTCATCAATGAATATTATTTTTTAATAAAATTGAATTTATATCACAGTTTTAAACATGATAATGATGCATCTACATATTAGAATATGCGTCACATAACGCGCGACTGAGTATGTTATAGTTATGCTTGAGGCATGTTAACGACATCGTCAAACATTCAATATATATACTGAAATCGGCGACGATTCTCACAAGATGTCTTTAGCATAATGCAAAAAATTCTCAATAACATTCAAAAAGAATGGAGAATATTTATTAATGATAATGCATCATCTATGGAAACTATATTGACAGTCACATCTGTCAGTAAGCATCGTTTTGTTATTATGTTGTTGTTTCTTGTTAGCCATCATTCTTTTCTTCCGTTTCTTCTTTCACATTAACTACTGAACCAATTGTTTTGACATTTTCAGTGGTTAAAGATTGTGTCTGTCGCTAGTAGGCTATACCTTTAATTAATTTAAAATATTTTATTTTTGTTTCGTTTTTTGTGTGTGATGACCTCATCAAAAATTGAG